AACCCCAAAACCCCAAAACCCCATTAGTAAAAATCTATAGAATATTAAATTTAAGAAATATTAGTAAAAAAATTAAAAAATTTATTTTACATTGCAATGGAAAGTCAAGATGCTCTTGGCATTAATAGTGATTATCTGGATAGAAATGATGCTGCAAATCTTAAGTCACTCATTCCAGAGGCTATGCCTTTATTCAATTTAAGAACTTAAGGTAATGTACTAGAACCAGAAATTAAGTAAGTTCTACATACTTTAAGAATATGACTTTCAGAGCTTTATAATATAGCTTTTTCCTAATACTAATTCTAATTCAAAATTCAATCTATTTAGGTACAAAATGAATTGAATAAAAAAGAAAGCTAGACCTGCTGATAGTAATCATGATGACATTAATTAACAGAAAAAAAATGTTTGCAAGCATATCAAAGTAAAGGAGTATCAATGCCAGGAATGTCAACAAATGATTCCGTGTTTTAAGAGTGTTTTCGACACTGGCAACATACTTACTTTTTTGAATATAAAGTGTATTAATGAGTTTCACGATTAACTAACGAATAACAATATGGGCCAACTTAAGGGGACGAATCAGCTCATTTATGAAAACTATAAGCCAAAAAATACTCAAGAGATGCGAGAATATATTCTATTCACAATAGATAAATCATTAAAAAAAGCAAAAAAATGAGGTGAGGTTAGCGACAATATTTTAAGATAGCTAGGAAATGTAGGTAGTTTTAAATATCTAACTTAGGAATTGAAACAGTATATTTACTTGAGAAAAAATCGAGAGTATCATGTTCTTAGTAATAATGGCAATAACAATAGTAATAGTCCTGGTACTAATCATGCTGAAAATCAAAATTTGTTTGGGTCAATAGGGCCACATTGCTTACTTTTTGATTCATTTTTTGAAAGTGGAAACTTAGAAAAAGCTGAATATGTGTCACCTACAGAGTATAATTTATATCTCAATGTAGACACAAACACCAAAGGACATTAATAGTGGTTTTATTTCAAGGTAAAAAATACTTTCAAGGATAAGAAGTACACTTTTCATATAAGGAATTTCACTAAACCGTTTACACTATACAGATCTGGAATGAAAATTATGATGAAATCTAAAAAGTAAGAGGAAGAATCAGAGTAGAGTTAAGGATGGGTACCTGCAGGAGAAAATGTATGCTATTGGAAAACTGATATCTAAAGAAGTGGTTGGAGAATACCTGGTCCTATCAACCTTGATGATGAAGAAGACGATGATTAGATCCTTGATGATATAAATGGTATTGATGGTGGAGCTGCCCTTAATACAAATGATAATAAAAAAGGAGGGGGCAACATCAATAAGATTAGACCCTCGCTTGTAAATTCTATTATGCAGTCAAATAATATGCAAAATACAAAGAGAAGGAAAAGATATTTTTACAGCTTAACTTTTTAAGTTGAGTTTGACTATGATGATGATATAGTGTATTTTGCATACTCAACTCCTTACACATATTCTTAGATATTTTTGCAAATGCTCCGAATAGAATAATTGTTAATTGATCATGAGGGAGAAGTTGGTCATAATGTTAAGATTACAGAGTCCTCGGATAAAACAGAGAGATAGATTGTTACAAAGGATATTTAATATGATAGGAAAATATTATGTAAGACAATTAGTGGTCTCCCTGTACCAGTGATAACTTTGACATCAAGACGGCATAAAGGACTTGAGTATAAAAAGAGATAGGCAATCGTGATATCAGCTAGAGTACACCCAGGGGAGACCAATTCAAATTTTGTATTTGATGGTTTCATGGAATATTTACTATAGCCCGATGGTGTTAAGGAGTTACTTTAGAATTATATCTTCAAAATGATTCCTTGTCTAAATCCAGATGGAAATGTCTGCGGGAACTATAGAAGTTCACTTGCAGGTGTAGATTTGAATAGACAATGGGTCCTACCGAATAGAGAACTTCACCCAATAGTTCATCATATGAAAGAAATGCTTTCTAATATATCTAAGGAGAGATAGCTTCTACTTTATTGTGATTTGCACTGCCATTCTAAAAAGAAAAACTCTTTTATTTATGGTTGCAACACTGCAGCAAATGGAGGTTTTACTAGTTGGACAAAAGTCAGATTGCTGCCAAGAATTATAGCTAGGCTTTGTCCTCTATTCAACATAAAAGATTGCAGATTTAGAGTTGACCCAGGTAAACTTGGTACTGCTAGAGTTATTGTTTGGAAGGAGTATGGTGTGACTAACTCATTCACTCTAGAAAATTCTTTTTATGGCTATACCTATGGCAAAGATACCATCCCATTTAAACCAACTGATTATCTCTTAATTGGGGAGAATCTAGGAAGATCACTCTATTAATACAGATAACTTTTAAAATAAATTGAAAAAGAATTGGCTTTGACTAATGGGTGGCTAAAGCCAAAACTACTTTTGGAGGTAACAGGTACTCCTGCTGCTGAAAAAATAGCAACAGATTAAGAGAAACAACTTAAAGAGGAAAAGAAAAGAAGATAAATTGAAGAATATAGACAAAATTTGGGATTAAATGATTTACCAGATATCAATGATATTTCCATTATAAAGTCTCATTAAACATCAGATGAGAAAACTAGAAATGTATATAGAGCAAAAACTTTAGGACAATAAGGGGTGAGTGTTAAAATGGTGGAAAATGGTCTTGTTAAATAGCCCACAAATTAATCTGATACCTTGATACAAAAACCTAACAAGCTAAAAAAGAATAGCTCCAGTGAGTCCACCAAACTTGATACTAATAGGAAGATAACTTCATAAACTTATCTGTCTTAAGATGATACAAAGCCGATTAACAATCTGAAAAAGAGGGTCTTGAAAGATGAGAATTTTGACTAGCAATCAAACTCAAATAATACAATAAAAACACCACTAGATAACGATCAAAGCAAGATCTTAAAGCTACAGAAATTTATTAAGACTTACTTGAAAAAGAAAAGCAAACTAAATAAAGATGAATGCGAAAGCTAAATCGAAGATCGATCCTAGCAATCTAGTAAAATGTAATACTTTCCAGATATAACACTTAAAACCAATACTCAAAAACTTGGCTCAAAGACTAATGCTAATATAACACCTAAAAGTAATAAAATTTTGAAGTATTCTAATGTAGATACTAGTGTTCATAGCCCTTTGAAAAGATAGAGATCAAAATCAATGATTTTAGATGATTGGAGATAATTTTTTAACAAGACTGAGTTGGAGGTAGTATATGATTAAATAAAACTAGGAGTAGATCCAAATGAATAAGAGAAGCAATAGTCTGATGGAGATGGATCTGAGAGTAATATATCAGAGGATAATCTTGATATAAAAGAACTTTATCAAGAGATTTATATGAGAGATCATTTAATGGAAAAGGAGATATAGCAATTAAAAAAGGCAGAAGACATAGTGAGGAAAGATCTTCAGAAACTAATGGAAGAGCAAAAATAAGATTGCCTACGTGAACCACCAATTATAGAGAAATCCACTGAGATTAAAGTTCAAGACTAAAAGGAACTCCTAACTTTTGAACTAAAAAATGGTATTAATATTGTATCAGCATCATTTAATCTGGCATCGACCTAACTATAGCAAAATTCTTAAAAAGTTACAATGAAGCCCAGAGCAGAGAGTATAAAATAAAATGAATTAACCACGCAGCTCAATTTAAACATGCAGCAGTAATCAAATCATAATTACTAGAGGTAATACAATAAGTAAGTTTAAGGTTCAGAATACTAGACTATGCCTAAAAAGTCTTAGAATATTTTGCCATCTAATTCTAGAAGACCTTCCTCCTAACTTGGAGTTGTAAACAATTGTCCACCTGAGTTAGGCGTTATTAGTTTTGATAGAATTATTGCTGGTCTTGATGATCATAATCGAAACAAAGAGTAATATGCGTTCATAAACCAATTCTAATATAAACCTCAGAATCATAGTCTTAATAATAAGTCGAGGTTAAACAATCAAAAGTAGACTGAAAAAAATCCTTATATTGGAAACTCAAGAGTGAAGCCATAACAATAATAGTACTTCAATAGCTTCAAAGATCATCAACAATCTCGATAACTAAATAAATCTATACTTTCTGCTTAGAGTAATATCGAATCATAAAATCACAGTGGGTTTTAATAGTATATACTCAAGAATCTTAGATATGAAGATCCAAAAGTTCAATAGGCATACTCGAAGATAAAGCCAACTGCTAATACTGGTTTAGAAACAGGTCTAAGCTTAAATTATTAGTCTACAGAAGAAATATTTTCCAAGCCTGATTCTCAGCAGTTAAGTATGATGAATAAAAGAGTAAGAGTATAACAAGTCGTAATAGATCATAAGAACATAAATAAGACCAGTATTGGCTCATCAAGTGCTTCGAATGCATAAACGATGACAAATAAAATAAACCTGTAAGACCCATATTAAAGTCATATCAATCAAAGCTTTGGAATAATCACTAACAATCTCTCAATAATAGAAAGCACTTCTAGTCAAAATTAAGTTTACCCAAGATAAAATGTAAAGTTTTCGCTTCCAACACTTAAGAACTCTTAGAATTAGTAACAAGCCTCTTTTATCTTGCATCAAGACTCGAAAAAATAAAGTTTAAGGCAAGGAATTCTAACAAGTACAGGTGCTGATGAAAGAGATTATGATAGACCTAGAAAGGAAATACCTGGATTTGGAATATAACTAGGAAGTCATAATGTCCTAAATTCTAATGTAGGAGGCAATAAAAGGAAAAGCCACTTTAGTAATCTTAATACTGTTTCTTAAAGCTACTTTGATCGTCCGACTTCGAACAGGCATTATCAATTATCTAATCATTGAAACCTAAGTTACACAGCTCTTTAAAAATTAAACTATAGCTATAAATAAAGAATTTGAATGATTATATATCTATAAGCTAATTTTAATTTAGATATTGTCTTTTTTACAAATAGATTTATATGAATTGCAGGGGTTTTGGGGTTTTGGGGTTTTGGGG